ACATGTAATATATACATATAATATATGCAGACACCGCAAATATACGTACATGTAATATATACATATAATATATGCAGACACCGCAAATATACGTACATGTAATATATACATATAATATATGCAGACACCGCAAATATACGTACGTGTCCGTTTGTGTGCGTGTGTGCCCGTGTGCATGCTTGCTTGCGTGCCTGTGTGCGTGCATGCGTATCTGTGTGTGTGTGCGTGCGTGTCTGGGTTTCGGGTCCGATGGGCCTTCAGACCTAAAGCTAATTTGAATAATTGTGTAACCGACATATAAATGCATGCACGCACACACACACATATATCCATTAGGATGTTGTCAGAAACATTACGTATACTCAAGACGTCGAAAGTCTAAAACGTCTGGCTTTTGAAGCGAAGTCACGTGCAAAAGTCACGACATACTAGACTCACGATACCCAGAACTAATCACGTTTCCAACGACACCCACACTCCCACTCCACCCCGCTCCGTGATACGACGACAGCCGGACGCACGTGCGTTGTTTGGCGCGTTCCGCCCCCGCGACGCGTTGATAACGACGGCGTACCTTTCTGCAGGACGGCGTTAGCCGGTTTGTTCCCGCCAAGCGACTCCTTCGACAGATGCTGGTGCGACTCCGCCAGCGACTGCATCTCCGCGAACCTGCGAGCAGACGAACAGTGAATGACCGACTGCGACCCCGCGGTGGCGACCACACAGCACCCACACAGCGGCGCCCGTGGCCCCATGGCAGCCACGCCCGAATCTCGGCTTGTAAAGTTACACGGCAATCGAAAAAACCGATCTGCGCCGCCTGCCCAGTCTCGCGTGACTAAAACGCCACTCGAAGATTACAAAAAAGCGAGTCGCTTTAATTAAATAATTTTAATATTTAAAAAATTATTAATCTAACACAAAAACCATTCCAATGTAAAAGTGAAAATTTCAAATCGAATGCGTCGTCGCGGCACGAGAGGGCGCCACCACTCACCGGGCGCTCAGCGCCATGGCCGGATGGTTGGGATCCTGAGAGATGTTGAGATAGGCGGCTCTACGCAGCTGCTCCTCTATGACTAACGCCTGCTCCAGCAGCTGCAAACACGACACACCGACACACACGTTAGCCTCACTGCAGTCAGTCTCTCCCCACAACTCCTAGTGCAACTACAGACCCCACTATCGACCCTGTGCGCCGGGCACACCCCCGCTACTACAGCGCCGCCATCGGTCAGAGCAACTGTCGCTACTCTTCCACCCGTCGCCGGGCTAAATTTAACATAGACCAGTTACAACAAACGTGCGGCTGCCCCTACATGCTGCGCTAACTACGATTGTAACCGAACCCGGAAGCTATCGCGAGCTAACGCGTCACAGACGATCGAGTCAGATCGACTGTCTGACCGAGTGACCGACCCACCGACCGACTTGACCGCCCGCCCGCCCGACCAACCGCCCCGGACCGGACCGGACCGGACCGTTGCTGCACGTTACCTTGAATCGCCTCGCGAGGAACTTGTTCTTGATGTCGAGCATGTTGCTGGCGCCGCCGAAGCGTGACTTGAACGGCTCGTTGATGATGACGAGGCGGTGGTCGGTGCAGATGTCGGCCCAGCGCGCGTAGCCGTGCCTGCGACGCGATCGCTAAGGAACACAGCAGCGACACGCGCGAGAAAGCACACGTGCGAGACACGCGGCGGCGGCGTTTAGTGCACCCGGCAGCGAGTATTAACAACAACAGTGTAAGCTAGTTGCTTATTTTCAACTTATCACTATTATCGCTAAAGCACCAGTGGCTAATTCAGTGGAGAAATGCGAGTTAGCATGCCATACAGATAGCTACGAGAGGGTACGCTGCTTTCAGAAACAAAATTAGTGTTAACATTACTCCCAACGTGAACTTTTCGCGTAGACCGGACTGCTATACACTGCATACGAGAAACTCCTAGCGTAACTACGGGTAACTTTCCCACGTTTCCGTCGACGGTCTCCAAATATAAAAAAAAGTTAAGATAAGAATAATGTTACGACCACAGCGATGGCTCAGTGGTAGAGTTCTCGCCTCGCATGTAGAAGGTCGAGGGTTCAACTCCCGGCCGGGTCATACCAAAGACTTGAAAAATGGTACACACGGCTTCTCTGCTTAGCATTCAGCAAATAGAGATAGAGTGTGGCAAGTTAACTCGCAGTGCTACCAGTGGATTAACCCCCTACTGTAGCATTTACTGTGAAAGCAGCTGCGGGGCCTCAGGGTTACTGAAATGGCGATAGGCACCGCCCTATGCGCCATTTAGGCGCGGGAAGGATTTAACTAAGAATAACGTTACCGCAAATTTCGCTTCTGACGTTCATGTCCCAGGCCGCCAAGGCCACCTAGCGATGACCCCCCCCCCCACACACAGAGAAACCCTCGGCGCCAAAACCAAAAGTACAAAACAAACAAGCGAACAGCAAAGGATACGTGACGATGCCGCCGAGCAGCCAGTAATCGTGCCGGCGGTGCCAGATCTCGTACTCATGGCCCGGCACCGCCGCCTTCTCCTCGTTCTGCCACAGCGTGTGCAGCTCCGTGAAGCCGCCGTCGGCGATGTTGAACGCAAAGCGAGCGCCCTTCTTAGACTCCTTCTTCGCGGCCGGCGCCTCCGGCTCCTTCATCTCGCTCTTCGTCGTCGACGCCTTCTCCTCTGCCTTCCCGGCTTCCTTCGTCGTCGCCGCCGCCGCCGCCGCCGCGCTGCCCTCGGCTTTCTCCTCCTTCGCTTCGTTGGTGGTCTCGTCGGACTTCTTTGCCTCTCCCTCGGCGGGTTTGCCTTCTGTTTTGATGATCGCTTCTTCCGGTTTCTTCTCAGAGTCTTTGGGTTTGTCCTCTTTGTCGGCGTCCGCCGGTTCGTTGGCTCCGTCCTTTTGTGCCGATTCTTCATCCTTCGTCTCCACCGCTTCATCTTCTTTCTTTTGTGCGGTTTGCTCATCCTTCTTGCCCACATCTTTCTCTTCCTCCTTTTGTGCGGTTTCTTCATCCTTTTCCTGTGTTTTCTCATCCTTCTTTTGTGCGGTTTCTTCATCCTTTTCCGGTGTTTTCTCGTCCTTTTTTTGTGCGGTTTCTTCATCCTTTTCCGGTGTTTTCTCGTCCTTTTTTTGTGCGATTTCTTCATCCTTTTCCGGCGTTTTCTCGTCCTTCTCTTGTGCTCCTTCCTCCTCCTTTTGTACAGTTTCTTCTTCCTTCTTCTCTGAGGTTTCGTCGTCCTTCGTTTCCTCGTTTTTCTCGGCAACTTCCTCGCTCTTCTCCACTACGACCTCGTCTTTCGTTTCTGCAGTTTCTATTCCTTCTTCCTTCTTCTCCACCTCTTTCTCGTCCTTCTTCTCTGCTTCGTCTTTCTCTTTAGGAGGCACATCTCCTTCTGTGGGCGCTTCTCCGCGCTCGTCTTTCTCATCAGCTTTCGATTCCTTCTCAGTCTCATCTGGAATTTTTGTCTCTTCCACCTCCATCTTATCGTCTTTCTCTGCTATGCTGCTCTCCTTCTCTGCGCTTTTCTCAGAACCCTCCTGCTCCTGCACGCCTTTCTCCTCCTCCGAGCTTTTCCCCGCCTCCTCCTTCTCGGGCTTCTCTTTCCCGGCATCCTCTCCGCCGTCTTTCTTGTCGGCAACCTCCTCCGCTTTGCCCACCTCCGCTGCCTCCCCCTCTTTGACCTTACCCTCTACCTCAACCTTCTGCTCATCAGCGCCCTTCTCTCCCTCTGCCGTCTCCTTCTTCGCCTCCCCTCCTCCCTCCTCCCCGGCCTTCTTCCCCGCGCCGCCCTCCTCGTCCACGGCGGCAGATGCCGAGGCGATCTTGAGGTCGTCGCGCAGCTCGCGGCGCAGCGCCGCCGCCTTCGTCGTCTCGAGGGCGGCGGCGGCTACGGCAGCGACGTCTCCTTCGCGCGGGGGCATGCTCGCCGCGCCGTTGATCGCCTCGAACTCGGCGACCTTCTTGCGTATGAGCGACATGATGCCGATGCGCGTCAGCACGTGCTGCCGTGAGAGTCCCTCGCGCGGCACGCCGTCCGCGAACGTCTCCGCGTTCTCCGCGCCCGGCTCGCACAGGTGCCGCATGAACAGCGACACGTACGCGCGGAAGAACTTCTCCGGCTTGCCCTTCAGGTCGCGCACGAGCCACTGCGAGTTGAACGTGTCGGCCGGCGGCATGCCGTAGCGCATCACCGCGTTGAGGAACGCCTTGCGCTGGCGCGCGTTGAAGCCGAGCACCTCCACCTGGCCGCCGACGAGCGCGAGAAGCGGCGGCATCGGCCGGTCCTTGCCGTCGAGCATGCGCTTGCGAGAGCGACCCTCGACGGAGTCCGGGTCATCCTCTTCGTCGTCCGAGCCCGCGGAGAGCTCGGAAAGCTCCTCCTGCCAGTCCGGGTCATCACGGCCGATGTGACCGTACTCGTTCGTCTGGTAGTAGTTGACCTGTGCAGAGGAGCGAGCGAGCCGTGAGAGCGCGCAGGCAATAAAGGAAGGTAAAGTAGGGGCAGGAAAGTAGGGTAAAGCACGCGCAGGAAAGTAGGGTAAACACGCGCAGGAAAA